TTTCTTCAGACGTATCTACCAGTTTACATTTACTTGCCGGAGCACATATACTGAAAAACGGAAAAGAGGCTTGGTGTCCGCACTTCTGAGTACATTCCATAGAAACCTAAACTAAGAGGACAAGATGTTTCTGCAGTGAAATCAAACAATATTTGCTTGATAGCAGTCATGAGGAGATACCTCAAGATCCTTCAAGATAATAAATAAACAAATAACAAAACGTTCACTACAGTCTGCCAAAACAATCGCCAGATGAACATTTATACCAAACCTCTGCATTCAAAAAGAATCAGCTATCAATCTTGATTTACTGTGATGACCTCATCTATGGAGGTTGTTGTGTGAATTTTTTTGTGACTAACTAATTATTTTGAATTCCTACTTTGATTTAAGAGTTAGTTAACTATAACGTCTTAATTCCAGATAATTGTTTCTGTGTTCTTTGTTGCTCATTCCAGAATATTCTTATTTTGAACCTATAAATAAGTATATTATTTGGCAGAAAAATATTATCTCTTATAGTCCTTTTGGCTTTTTGATTAATCTTCACTGATAAGAACTCTTCCGGTAATATAGCATAAAGTATTTACCCTTGTTTTCAATGAATAATACTATGATGTTTAGATTGGAAGCAGTTGAAGAGAAACTGTGAAATGAAATGAATTCATGTTATTCTGCTACTGGAAATATGGATTTTTTTCTACCTAATGAAATAACTTGGTTGTAAACAAAATCTTGAAAGAATAAACAAGACTACAAGATTAAAGTCATCAATCAATCATTGTTAGACCAACATTAGAAACCTGGACTATAATGGAGGTCTAACAATGATCGATTGATGATTTTAGTGTGTAAAAACACTGATATTCATAACTCTAATTGAAAAAAAGACTGAAACAGATTGAGGTGATCTAGAAAATTTGTAGTTAAAGTAAACGAGCACAGAAAACGAAACTCGGTCATAAAGGACAGATTACAAGTGACCAGTGTCGTTGTTCACTCAAGTCCCATCGGAACTAGTATTTAATTTCCGGGCTAAATTCCTAACCTCTTCGTTGGTTCTCAAGGTCTTGAAATATTAGTGTTTTACCTACTCACTGGACACGTATGACTTGAAAGAAATGTACTACTATTGTCATTATTATGGATTTTCATCACGGACAGATTTAATAAAATCTGTAGAACGTAAAGGACAGTGCTTTCCTTTCGGGCCACAAAGTTTGTGGGGAATATCAACCGCGATTGCTAGTTCTGTTGGTTCAAGCTGAGCAGCCATATTGTTTGCAACAGTTGGGGAAAAACATAAGTATCCAACAAGTCAGAAAAATAATCACAGTTTACTACTCACCGATATTTAAAAACTTACAAACCGTTATAGACTACTGATGAAAACGTTAAATTTGTAGATGTCCATTTGATGACAAAGCTTTAATCATTTTCGTAGAGAAGTTTTTGAATTGAGAGTTCGAAAAGCAAAAAACTAAGTATAGGCCTCTATGATGGTCTAACAGGTTATTTTATCTACTCTGAGTTAAAATAATTTCCGACAATATTCGTATAATTATTACTCATTGAAATCATGAATCGATCAATGTTAGACCACCATTAGAAACCTAGAAGCACTGGACGGCCGTTTCCTCCTGGTATGGGACTCATCAGCAGTGAGCATCCACGACTCCTGCACCTCCCAGGACCTTCGGTCTTGCGCGCGAACGCCTAACCTCTGGACCATGAATTCATCAAAGTTTGATCTTGCTATCGCTCGTTTTCGGCCCAGTGGTCCAGAGGCTAGGCGTGCGGTCAGAAGTTCGAAGGTCCTGAGTTCGAATCCTGCGGGCGCTAGGAGTCGTGGATGCCTACTACTACTGATGAATTCCATGTCAGGAAGAAACGGCCATCTAGTGCTTCTTGTCTTGTAATGGTGGTCTAACATAGATCAATTCATGATTTCAATGAGTACCTCAACAATTTCCACATCCCCGTAATATAATTGTTTGTACATTTATAACGAAATATTTTTCCTAATTACATGATTTCTGATTACATTCATTGACTGATAAGTCAAATCAGTTTCACTACATTTATTGGTTCTTGAGTAATTTCAATGTAAATTATATAAACAGTATTACGTTCTTCAATGTTATCTATGTCCAGGAATAAAACGTTTTATTCAATCCAAAACGATATCTCCTATTTTTGTGCACATTAACACTAGTTTGCTCGTTTAAACAATAAGACATGGTGACTGATTGAAATTCACTACTGACAGAACAAGCTGTTAATCAAATTCAAATGGTTCACTTCATTTCTTACGGTTGATAGTAATGATGATACTACTCATATTGGAAAGATTAATGAAAAAAAAATTCAAAATTATACCATGCGTGAAAATTCATTGACCAACAAAATTTCTATACCAAGTTAAAAGGAAGATAAATGAATTAGGCTGAAAAAATTACTAAATTTATTAAATGTATTAGAATGAATTTTATTGTTAATAAACAAAAGATTGATTATTTGTAAATAAATAAATTAAAAAAGATTAACAAAAGAAATAGGTGAATTATTTTTTTTTTAACTGTTTGGTTTTTATGTGAGTGTATTTCTCAAGTCATTAATTTTTATTCAAATTGATTTTGTGTGTTTCTATGTTTGTTTGTTGGGTAAATAAATAATATATACAAATGGGTCAATCAACACATAATTTAACATTAATTTACAATTTTTATAAAAGATTATACTATTTCACTTGTAACAATGTATGGTATATATGAAGTCAATAATTGTTTTTACGAATTAAGTTGAATTCATGATGTAATTAAGTTTTTTTTATTAAGATGGTCTACTTGCAGTGTTTTCTTATCATTCTGGTGTTTGCTTCATGTAAACGTTTTAAATTAAGAAGCTCCATTTCTCAGCGTAATGCGTTCCTTGAACATCTTTTCTGTGGGCTTTGAGAATTCCAACTGAGGACCTGTCTTGTCACACTGTTGGGTGCTTTCCTCAATATGTGTCCTGTCCACTTCCTAGTGCTTCTTCCTTTGATAGAATCCGGTTTGTTCTCTGCCACAGTAGGTCGTTGCTGATGGTGCCCGGTCAGCGAATCTGAAGTATTCTGTGTAGACAACTGTTAATAAACACTTGCATCTTCTGGGTGATTACTTCCGTGGTTCACTGAATTTTCGCCCCATGCAGAACTATCTTGATATTTGTTTTGAGAATTCTGATTTTAATGTTTGTTATTGGTTGTTTTGAGTTCTAGATGTTCTTTAATTGTAGAAATGATGCCACTGATTCGCTCATCGACGATGCTGCCCAGATACGTAATGATTTCTACATTTCCATAAGTTTTACGGTCAAGTGTGATTTGGTTGGTGCATGTTGTGCTGTATCTAAGGATCTTGCTTTTTCCTTCGTGTATGTTGAGATCTACTGCCGCTGATGGTGCTGTTACACTGGTCTCCTTCTCTAGCAATTGTTATTGCGTATGGGATATAAGAGTTAGATCATCTGCTAAGTCCAGCTGCATCCTAGATGTCTACTATTTTCTGTGCTTCCACCCAGATTTTGACGTCTTCATAATTTGATCTGTCACTAGGAGAAAGGGTGAGAGTAACCCACCTCGACTGACACCGGTCTTCACTTCGAATGAATCTGTCAGTTGTCCTTTGAGGGCTATTCACAAAAGTATAAGTTTACAGTTAATTCGAAAGGGATAATCGGGATAATCTGACATTTTCCAGCTGTTAACATAGCGTAATTAACGATTTATTTATGAGAGTGAGATCTTTAGCTACTTGAAAACTTAAACTATGAAATTACTTTCGATGGTTATATTATCTATCCAACTTGATCAGATAGTTTGTGTTGCAATCACAAATAGGTTACTGAGTATTGCATAGTCTAACTGGTGGAGTCGTCAAGAATTGTCTCAGTAGTTATCAGAATGCAAAATTAGACGGTTTCCAATCAACTCATCATTCTCAAAGTCAATAGTTTAAAATACCTCATTGCATGATGGTAATTTTTCATTACTTCGCACGATGAATAGATATCCTTATTTCTTTATTCGAATCTTTCGAAACTGATGAATTTTATATCAGTTGAATTTCATTGTATAGACACCCTAAACAGTATTTTTTTTTAGCATTTTGAGATAGATTTCTTATGAGAATGTTCATGAAAATTGATTTCTAAGATTTTTATTCATAAAAATATATTTCGATGAATAGCATCAACTTGTATCTGAGAGTTCTACGGAAATCAACACGTAAAAGAATTATGGAATATCATGATGACAACATCTGAAGTTCAAAATAAATTTACACAGTTGAAGTCTATTTGAATTAGGTGTAGCTCAAGAGCAAATACCTTTCCTGTGTTATGAGTTCTGAGACTTTGCACATGCAATAATTTTCGGATGATCAATCAAGTCTCCATTTACTCATCATGATTTTTGCTCGTTAATCTTTTTGATCACAGTCATGTTTCAATTGCAGTTGATGAGCTACTAAAAAATACGTCAAAACTCCTAAAGTCCAGACTTGAATTAGAAGTAGGTTTAATAAAACCCACATATTATACAGATTTTAGCATGATTTTGGTCCATGAAGTGACTGTCTTCCAATCACTACAGTATAAACAGATGTAAATTACCGTTAGAAAAATTCTTTCAATAACAGAATTATCATGTGAAATCCAGTGGATCAGAAATATGAAAATAGATTTGTCTTATCTTTATGGAAAACTATTCTTATCATATTCTAATTAAATGAGTGCCCAACATTGAATTACTTATATTGTGTTAAATCTGTTATCATCATTGACAGAAATTGTTTATTAATTAACATTCTATTTCAGATAGTAGTGACCTACACAGACACATTTCAGTATACAATGATTATAAAGTGTGCTAAAGTATTTATTAATAATTCATTTGTCTGTCATATTTATACAAAATAATATAATATATATTACATGAATAGGTAATCTCTGTCAATCTCTGAATTATATATAAGAAAGTATAATCAAATTGAAGGTTTGGATGAAATGCATTTTGAAGCAGTTTAGATTATTTTTGATCAATGATGTTTTATATATATATATATATATCGTAGTCATAATAGTGATTGTTAGTTATCACAGTGAGTTAAAATGCTCATTTCACATGTATATTGATTGACCTTGATCATGTCAACTAGATTTTTGTGCTTTTTGTATTTCTAATGGAAGTAGTCCGTAGGAAGAATTTAATTTGTCTCGTATAAATGATGAATAACCACTGGAGTGAGACTGTAAAGAGACCTCTTCATAAGATCCTAAAACAAATAAAAACATTTACGGAGATGATGATTTAGATTAAAGTCAATGATTAATAAATCCGACGAATTATATTATGAAAGTCAGACAGATATAATAAGTAAGAGACAAATTTTTGTTACTGTTTAGAAATATTGTTATCAGAATTACTTGTTATTCAATTTGTGTTAGTGAAATATGCTATGGACTAAGTGATTATAATCTACAGGTCAAGGATAAGATAAGTTGATAATCTGATTCCAGCATGCCGAGTCATAGATGTGTACTGCTGATTGATAAGTCCCATACTAGAACTAAACAGCTATCGAGTGCTTCCAGGTTTTCACAGGTAGTCTAACATTTGTCACAGTTCATGATTTCAGTAAAATGCAGAGATCAGCTTCACGAAAATAAAATTATAGTTCATAGTTTCACGGTCTGATAAATTTTATTGGTTGGTAAATGGTTGAAGATCATCAACCAACGTTAATAAACATTTTTTCTCATAGGTAAACATTTCTTCAGCTACATAAACACCTACTGGTTATAACCTCCTAGTTTTACCTGAGCAAAATGTCAAAACCTGGACCGAGGCATTCATTCCATAAACTCTTCTTCAAATCGAATTTCATCATGGTTTCTAATGTCATTCTTGCATCCTTATTGATTTATACAAGCACATAATTATCAGTAAAAAGTAGCGCCTAAATATATTTATACATCACAACAATGATTGAATTTGTGAGTGTATTAGAATACTGTGTGGGTGTTCAAACTGAAGCAGTATGTTTTCTTACGAAGCAATTTCGCAAGCCTTTTAACTACGATTCTATTTCTCAAGGTAGTTGAGAAATGGTAGAAGACGTAGTCGCATAGTAGTCGTAGAACAACGATAGATTCAAACAACATTTCCCCTTTAGCATTATGGAGTCTATGCACACTGTTGGTTCGGAATTCAGGTTTTCAAACTTCCTTCGGTGAAATCTTCATACCTACCAACTTGCTTTAAGCGCTAAACATTCACTTTTCTTCCTTTCAATTTCACATACAGATTCTTGTAAGTCTATCTCTTGTTATTTACATTTTTAAACAGACTGACTTGTTCGAACTGAAACATGGAAATCTAACAGTATACTGATCATTTGTACAACGGCTGGATACATCTAAAACACGCATATAAGATGAATCCAAATAATAATTTTACTATTTTTAGAAATGAAGTCCGCTTCAAGTGAACATTTAGTTATCAATCAATTCATTCACAGAATAGTTAGATTGTTGTGATAAAAAAAGTTTCATATTGACTGTGATTTGTTTACCTGTGCCATGATTAGATTTATTATTGGAACACAATTTTCTGTCTTGTGAATAAGGTTTTATTATTGAACGCATAGATGTAGTCGACTTGATACGATGATAACGCCGATGATTATTCAACATACCATCAGTATACATATTACCTTGATGTTCAGATGATAGTTGTCGCTTATGCCTTTTATTTTTCAAGTCATTTATTGTGCCATTACTACTGCTTGTAGTAGTATATAATTGTTCATCAGTGAGACATATTTCTGACTTTTTGGTTCGTTCATTAGTATGCTTATCATTTTTAGTAAGATACTGTGAAAAGTCATACATTTCATCAGGTGACTCGCAAATTCTTTTTGAATTCATACGTTGCAGAACATGATAACCATAGTAGCATTTTGGTGAATTCGTAGATGCTACTGTTGTTATTGATGATGAGGATAGTGAAGATGATGTTGTTGAATATTTTACAGAATCCATGTTTTTTGTTGTTTGAGGTTCACATGACAAATTTCGAGAATTATTCAAAGTACACATAAGATCGTCAGATGATGTGAAAATATTTTCATCCCAGTTAGATGTTTGAACTTGTAATGATGAAAGGTTTGTTTGCTTTTTGTCCGATGATATGTCAGAAATTGACGTTGATCCTTTCAATGTATTATTTGCTGCATTTACAGCTTTAGTATTCGTAACAGCGTTCTTGGTGCAGTTATCGAAATTAGTACTAGTATTTTTAATTGATAACATTGATCCAAAACAATTCCGATTATTTGATTTTATATTTGTTTGAATAGATTTTATATTTTTTAGCGAGGATTGAACTCTTTTAGTTTTCCATGATGAAGATTTATTGTGTGAATCATGTTCGTGATGTAGCCTCAAATTCTCAGTATTATTTTCACGAGTACATTGAGTTATTGTTTGTGTTTGGTTTGAGCATTTCTCTGCACTGTAAATAGTACTGACATTATTTAGATATTTGTACTGATTTTCAGTAGAACAACTACTATTTTGATATACTAGTGAAATTGAATCGTCAGTTTCGTTATATTCACGGAGATCAATTTTATTTGAACCAAAATTTGATGTTTTTGATTTTGTGTCACCTTGTGTTTTGGAAGACTGACTAGATTTCATAGGATTATCTAAATTACTCAAATGTGCCGCTCTATATTAAAAAAAAAGTACAAAGATACTTTACAAATAGTATGCCTAGCTATTATAGTTTATGTAAATACTTAAACTGAAATGCATAATTCCTTTTGTATCGGTTATTTTAAAATCCTGCCATAAATGTTTAGAACAGTAGATGATCTGTCTCATTTTGTATATATGTGCATCTCATGTTGACTGCTTCGATATTCACATCAAATAGCAATCACTACTTCACAGAGTTAGATGGTGTTGTAGTTTGTATCTCATTTATGTTAAGAACTGCAGCTGAACAGCATCTTACTTCATGACATCGCTGTTCCCTGTGGTTGAACTTCACTTGAAATTTCAGTGGTAAATCAAAAATCATGAAAATTGCTGTGCAGTTAAAAAGGAGAGTTATTGGTTTGGAGCAAGTATTTTTGTCTAAAAACCTCATACATCATAGCTCGATGTATCAATTAATATCATTTTCCATTCACTTCAGCTTAGATTTAACTCTTATGATGAAGTCACAATATGATGACCATGTGAAATATTATGATAATGCAACACACAGCTCTTGATGACAGGCGGTTGAGAGTGAATGTGTTTAAGCATTCAATGAAAGCTTATACCACACACTGCTGCAGCCGTATATGTCACTAATTCTGTTACACTCGTCTCTAGGTATGCTCAAACTATTACGGATTCACCTTAGTCGAATAACGAGAACAAAACAATGAACCAGAGTTCAGGTAGGCTACTATAATCCCTTGACCTAATCGTACCAGCAAGAAGTCTTGATATAGTATAGAAAGTGAACTCTACAAACACCGAGCAAGCATACAATCAATCCAAGCACTCAAATTGTGTTTATTCACACTATATAGTGACGTCCTTGGGAGAGTCACAAAAATAGCTTACTAAAATGACACAGTAACCAATCACAGCCAAGGATTTTTTCTGGTCAACTGATCGGTCAATGAAATCAATGCAAAATAAAGATATTTATCAAGCGAGTTCTGGGGATCTGACATCCCCAACATTCAACATCTTTGTTTAAAAATGTGTTTGCAATTCTATAAGTGAATATTATAAATAACTTAATTAAGTAAAAAGTAAATTTTAATGAGAATAGCTCAGTAACAGTATCTGTGACTATAATTACCGTGGAGGGCATTCTCACATCCACCTAGAGGACTTCTCAAGTCTTAGCCTATTGACTTAGCTGTGTCGTTTCATAAGTTAGAGTATTTTTTGGGATATTGCAAAATAATTAATTCGAATCTAAAAATATTGTAGATAAATATTTAAATACTAATGTGGCTTTTTTTAGGCAAATTGTCATTAAAATTTATTTGGGCATCTCCGAAACAATTTCATACTTACTCTTTACATAAATTGATTAGGCACTTTAAACCAAACATTGAAACTCCTGTCATTTCACTTGCTATGGATAAAGATTCATCATTTAATTCATTTGAAATAAGCGCTACTTGATCTGGTAAAATTTTATCATAACTACAGTGGACAAATGAATCACACGAGAAGTTATCATTACCTTCTGTATTATGATAAACTGTCAAAAATACATAATGAAGTAGATCATAATAGTAGAAAGAAGGTGATCTTGAGCCTAATGTACCACCACGAAGCATATGGTCTTGATAAGCTCCTTGTAGAAATTTCAACATTCGATAGCCTTTAGATCCATGAATTGGAAAAATACATTGAAAATTGCCAAGTGCAGCACGATAACGTTCATCTATTAAATTGACTAATGTACGCAAATCATCCGGTGAAAGTTCCAATAAAATATGATGCAATGCGTCCATAGGATCCTATGAGATGAAGAAAATAGGACAAGAGATTTTAAAACTGAGATTGATCCCAATTTTTGATGAAAAGTAGTTATTTAGTTAGCTATAACTGAATGATTTTCGGACTTAAAGTAAGAATTAATGGTAAGCATGATAGATAAGAAAGTTACGTGACCAACATTCATGAATGAGATGGCCATAGTAAAGCAGTATTGATAACTTAGTGTTTTAGAACCCATCAACTTAGTTTAAGTCTATTTTATGGCCGTTGCATCGGTAAACTGTAGTCAATTCGACATTTAGTGTTTATTACTCATGGTGGACATCAGTATCATGACTACTGTTAAGCAGATAGTGGGTAATCACTCAATCGAAAAAGTGTCGTCCTCTTATTCTAAGCTTCTATAGAATATGCTCAGATATATGAACACTAAGACTCCCTTCTGTTCTTCCGATGTACATGCATGAACATAAACTAGTAAACTGGTGAACACAAACATAAAGCAGAGAATTTTCCATGAATGATCGGCTTCGGAAGCGATTCGTTTGATACAGAGAGATATGCCTGGCAGATGGTTAAATCCTTTTTGTTATAGCCGTGAATCTCTACTCAATATTTCTAGCTATTTCAGTACACATTTCGTACATGGTATATTGTGTACTAAAGTCGAACACGTACGCCAAAATTTAAATTATTCCAGAATTTATGCAGACTTGACGAAATTATCAAACGCACCGTCAATTATATAACGCGTTTATCTCGAAAAAATAAAAGGTTTATATATATATATATATATATATATATATTTATATATATATATATATATATATATATACATCTAAGAACTTCGTACGTAAGTACATCAGTTCAGGTTGCCATGCCCCATCAGCATAGAGACGCAACTGTCAGTTCAAATCCAAGAGTGACAGCAATAGTAGAAGTATTAGCAGTAATGGAGAAGATTAGGGAGCGAAGATATGATTCGAGAAGCATAATTCAGTAAGATAAATTTAGAAGGAGAAAGTTAGAGGTGATGCGGAATCCAGGTTAGAATTTCATAGAACACAAACAGTGGATGCACCTGAGGCATTGTAAACGATTCTGAGCCATGTCGTTCAAGGTCTCTAACCAATGGTGACTTTCGTCTCGCGGACCCCAACCAGTTAGCCTACATCTACCAACATGACTCAGTCCACTTGTTAATGACTTCATGGATATATATATTCATAGTGTACGAAGTTGTAGGAAGTTATTTACGAAATTAAATATAAAGATTAAAGAGTGTCTATTGTATTAACCATGTTCTTTCACAATTTAAAAGTTCACATTTATTGAGTGTTATCATATACTTATCAATATCTATCATGATTTATTTGCCAAGACAATCTTTTGAAATAGCATCAAACAGTTTTTTTTATTTAGTGTAAGTTAAATAAAAATAAACAGAGTAACATGATATTTTAATTACATAAGTAAGCATACATAATGTTTTATTAATAATCAAATAAAGACGGTAAAGCAAATTAAAGCAGATGGTATTCTTCTATGGATGTAGAATATTTTTTTATTAAACAATGAAACTGTGACTGACCAAAATAAAAATGATCATAATCATAATGTTAAAAGTTCAATTTCCGCTATTCAACTGAACAAACAACAGTGTATTTATGCATAAATAATACATAATTATATATTTCATAGATGAAAAGATTGACTACTTTCTATGAAAGTAGAAAGTCATCGCATGACAAGTAATCAAATCCGAATACTAACTTTATGCTTAAAATATAAATGAAACATTTTTATTAGAGAACAAATCACAAACTGTAGCATCATCCAATGGTATTTATTAACCATAGTTTTTTAACAAATTACTTATCCATTAACTGGATGCCCTGATGAACTTCTAAAAAACATGAGGAGTGTCAAACAATTTTATTGAAAAAGAATTACCGAATCCACATATTATATTACATCTCAGATATTAAAATGAATTGTAGTTACTAGTCCTTTATTTTGTGAAACTTTTCTTGCTGATATTTATGTATGATGCATAAGGAAATACTTTTTATTGAGAATGAAACAAAACTGCACCAAACGTGTTGGTCCTTTCTGTTCATCGACATTCTATTCAGTTAGTGGAACTAAGAAGATTCGATCTGTTGATCTCTATGAAATCTACATTACATGATAGACATATTTGTTTATTCCAGTCAATAGAATTTTCATGAAAATAGCAAAGAATTTTTGGGTTACATGATACATGCCTGTGTTTTTGAGCAAATTTTTTCGGTTATTCTAGGCTATTATTATTATTATTATTACCAATATTATTATTATTTAAACAGTTGTTAACTGTAACATACTGTAATAGAAAAATCACATTTAGTTGATCAATTGCAGTAGGCGATTTTCTAGAGTCTTCAAGAAAAAATGTCCAAGCTGTAAAGGTAAAATTGGTAACACTTTGTTCTTTTTCTATTTTTCAAACAATGCTCATGTTTCTATCATATAATTTATTTGTCACGTTGACCAATAGTAAATATTTATAGAAATAGATATATTTTATGACAAAAGATATGTATTTTTTTCGTTGTAGATTTATGGAGATTGTTGTTTTACATTGAAATTGTGATTTAATCATTGTTAGACCACTACCAGAAACCTGAAAGCACTGGATCATGATTAAATCAGGATTTCGATGTAAAACAATGATTTCTATAATTCTATAATGAAAAATCATAAAATGCGTTCACTAGTGACTAGCTTCGTGAGGAAGTTTTTTCCTAGTTACAGTGAGAAGCCGTGACTTATGGAGTTCGACGTTGTCTAGTGTAGACAGAACCTACCACATATAATGGGTAAAGCTGCTCAAAATCCTAAGGTAGATCAGAGTTAGAGATTAGCATCATTGGATGCCAGCCCAGTGGCCCAGAAGGCCTTGAGTTTGAATCCTTCGGGCGCCATGAGTCGTGGAAGCATACTACTTACTGATCAGTCCCATGTCAGGAAGAAACGGTCGTCAAGTCACTCCAGATTTGACATGATGGTCTAACGATAAATAAATCTTCATTTCAGTGTAGAATATATGTAGCCTGTTTGGCAAATTACGTTACACAACTATTAATTTGAAATCATGAATCGATCAATGTTAGACCACCATTAGAAATGTGGAAACACTGGACGGCCGTTTCTAATGGTGGTCTAACAATGATCGATTCATGATTTCAAATGTGTAACTTAACAATCTGCACAACCCCGTAATGTATTCATTTGGAATTTGATAATTCATTATAAATTTGTTAGATTGTACTTTAATCCTAAATCAAATACTGCAACAGTAGTTTTCTGTACGTTACTCAAAAGTACATCGTCATGAATGTGATTTGCTTTTTTCAAAACCATCTTATCTAATTGTCATAAAAATATATTTTTTTAAAAACCCACTGATACACATATGCTAAAATCAAGTATGGAGAGAGAAAGAGAGAAAGACAGATTATCACAATTTACCTTGGAACATTTTTCTGCAATGCTAGCTCTACTACTAGTAGTAGTAGTAGTTCTAGTACCTGTAGTTGGATTCTTCATATTATGTTTGCTCAATCTATTAAAAATTTGCGATGATTTATCCTAGGATTAAAACAAAAGCACAAAAAGTATGCAAACTTTAATAAGATCATTTTTTATGTATATTTTATACACAAAAAAATAAGTGAAATATGGTTGCCTATGGAAAGCAGAAAGCATATTTCACCTTTTATAGGAGTCATTATTATGAGTTATTAGTGCAGTTTTCAATAAAATAATTTTTCTTATATATATATGAAGAAAAACCTAGAAACAGTACAAGAATCATAATAATGCTAAACTAGATTTGCTTTGTTTATGAATATATTATTTATGACAATAATTGCAAATAATAGATATTTCGTATGATATTTATGGTTTAACAATCCAGTTATCTAATTACAAGAATAAAATGTATCTCATTTAATTCAGGATGATCACATTCACTCGAGGCTCTGTGTTGAAGCTCTTGAATTGCACGTTGGAGGATAGCGTAATCTCAGTCTTGTTGAGTTAAACAGGAATAGGCTTATTCAGACTGATGCTTAGCCATTTTAATAAACAACCAACAAAATGAAGCTAAATGTTGAATGCTCGTCTCTAAGTATGCTTAAACTATTACGGATTCACCTTAGTCGAATAACGAGAACAAAACAATGAACCAGAGTTCAGGTAGGCTACTGTGATCCCTTCACCAAACTGAATCAACAAGAAGTCTTGATGTAGCGTAGAAAGTGTTTTCTACAAACATCCAGCAAGCACACAATGAAACAATGCACTCAAATTGTGTTTATTTATACTTCATAGAGACGTCCTTGGGACAGTCACAAAAATAGCACACTAAAATGACACAGTAACCAATCACAGGCAATGATTTTTTTTCTGGTGAGAAATGTGATCTCAAGGTCAACTGATCGATCCATGAAATCAATGCAAAATAAAGATATTTATCAATCGAGTTCTAAGGATCTAAAATCCCAGACAATATTTACCATAATAATTCAATACTATCGACGCATAACCAAACGGCATAACTGTGTCATTAGATGGAAACCCTACCTCTTACAATATAACCATTTATCATGTTTCTGTTTGTTAATTTTGACTAGAAACAAAAGATTGATATGATAAATATTTGATTTTTGGCCGAATCGAATTCATTTCTGAATGTTGTCAAAATCGTTTTTAAAGTATAAATTCAGTGAATGTGATTATGAAATAATCAACCATTCAGTGACACAACATCTCAAATAAAATGAAACTAAATGTTAACAAGCATTATCGATTGAGATGAAGCTAATAAATAAAATGTAAATATGAATTGTCAGACTGACTGCTCCAAAGAAATGAAGTGTTCAAACTTTTATTTATGACACTGATATTAGTTTGAGATCGATTTGGTTTTTATGAACCAATAGCTCATTCAATTAAATACCCATAATTAAACATTGTTTAAGTAATTTGACACTGCATTTCAAAAATAAATAATAAATTTCGTTCTTAGAAAACTTAAGTTAGTTTAATTTTTATCTGGTCATTTGTTTTACAACAACACATGTTTATCAAAAGTATATCGCATACCGCAATTACTAATTTTCCTACCTGAAACAACTGAATTTCAGCCTAAATTATGATCCAAGAATGTTTATACCAACGGAAAAGAAGCCTATAGTTCAGAATGAAAATATACTAACTGATGCATAATTTGTCAAATATTTATTCCGTTTATAATAAACACAGTGATAACAGTTAGTCGTAAATTCACCAAGTGTGTATTTCTTTGAATCTTCAATAATCTTGCAGATATATATATTAACCGAAATAATACAGTTTAGTCAACAAGTCGAATATGATTTTGATCATTGTGCTGAGTTGGAACTATGTATTTAACTGTGCATAATTTATAATTACCGACAGTGCTAAATAATGTAATTTGAATGGCTACAGACATTACATTTCAGTCAAGGAATCTTTTTTTAAAAAATGATTTATTCTAATCTCCAAACCGATTACATTATATTTCATCAACACCTGCTTAAAATCTATTTCAAATAATTTTGTATCCTGAAAATATTACTCCAACCGATAGGAAATTTCACAATCGTCATACTCAAGATTCTGTAGATCAATGAAAATTTTGATTTCCAAAAGATTTCATGTACTGTTGACGATTGCATTATCAATGACTCTAAATTCAATAAACTGTTCTCTTAAATTTTTGAATATAAGCAGTGCATAAAAAACCTTTTCATTTCACACTGACCACATATTTTCGTACTTAACAACTTCGATTTTTATTTAATAACATGAAATTACACAACAACTATTTACATTGACTTAAATTACTAAAAAAATAACCTAAAAAATAAAATAGCAAATGCTTCATATTTAAAAATTATTATTATTATTATGAAAAACTAACTTTATTTTTATCGATCAATAAACTTGAATAAAATAGATGCTTTCTTTTATCCTCTGCTGACAAACTAATATCCCATAAACGTGGATCTGTCATCGGTACATATGGGTCAAAAGAGAATCGATCATTATGATTACTTAATAATGAATTATTATTATTAATATTATTACTATTATTTACAATAATTTTACTAGCATTTCCTTTTTCATCAATTTTTTTACCAAATATTGTTTTAGTGGAGACTGTGAACTTTTTTGCATGTGTACTGTTAAGAGATGGACTTGACGGAGGCAATCCATGAACAGGCGAGATTCCTTTATACATAAATGTTTTCAATGGAGCAGATGATTGACGAATAAATGCACTGGATGGAATGCATACATCTTTATTATTAGATAATTTTCGATTGTAGCTGAGATTGTCATTGTTGTTTCTGCATGACATAGAAAAGTGATTGCCGTTCTGTGGTTGTTTCATTGATCCGCTTGTAATTCTTCCCGTCACACTTGAATTTCTATTCTTATTGAGTTGATGGTGAATGGTATTTTGTGACTTCGATGGAATTGTTGTAAGAGATAGTGATAAACGATAGTTCGGCGGCAATTGAAATCCACATATATTGAACATATCTTTAACAACGGCAGTTTTTACTTCATCATCGAGTTTTGTATTTGTATGTAAACTGAAACATAATAATCACAAATATGAGAATTTTATGAAAAAACATATTAAACTAATGATAAATTATCAAAACCATAGATGATATCCATTGAATTATGACGCATTTAATGAAAAGCGGAGGATAAAACGTCATAAAGACTGCACACTTTATTGTTTGAGTAGGTATTACAATTTTCAGAGTGATAGATAATACACATGAACATTATCGTTAGATCAAGTGACAATATGGCTTGCAAGTTAGGTGTCTGGACCTAATTGAAAGTGATAGTCCATTTAAAACTAAAGGAGAGGATGATAACAGCTCTAAGACAATCAGTTAATGATACTGATGACCGCCATTTTTTTTCATGAACAATAGAAGACTCTTGTTGGTTAGTTTCAAAAAAGATCATAAAAAACATCTGTTTGAGAACGTAGATGACTTGATTTCAAATCGATCGAGACTAAACTACTAAATGCTCTGTTATGTAATTCATATCTTTATCTAAGATTCATTAAAGTGTATTAAGATTCTTTTCAACAACAATTTTAAGGATGCATTTCACAGTCCGTAAATGAAAACGTTTACTTAAAGACTGGTTTTCATTTACTCTTTGAGTGATAGTAGGGAATGAAATAGTTGAGCTTGTCCATCACTTCCCTGATTTCGGACACTCGATAGGTGAATTCCAGACAAAATCTCAGCATTGGTTCAGAAAGCTCAATCGGTTTTTCAAACATAGGTTAGCTATAACCTAGACAGTATATCAGTCGGCCGACCGAAGGATTAGTTCATTGCTCGGCAGTTATGTATGTGGGTGAAATATGGATTGTAGGTTATAGGTATCCGATCATGAGTACCTTCAAAGCAAGACTTGCGTAGGTCAGGACTACAGAGTGAACGTTGGTTAAAGATGGGAAATCCGTTCATGAGGTAAGTAGTGGATCTTCATTTACTGATTTAATTGGGACAGGTAATATATCTCGTGTACAATTGTTTACCTTGACATAGAATATTGATTGGCCGAGGAATAGGTTGTAAAGAAGCTAGTGGTGAACAAACGAAGTCAGATTATTAACCCAGTAAACTAACAGCAATAATAACTTGACAAGTGAGGACTCTTTGTGAAGGTTACGAAAAATGAGGAGAGAAGATCGATAACATGTGTCAGAATTGTTCGCACTTATTATTTGTCTTACTTCAAATTCTTAATTGAGAAATTATCTGTATACCTACTATTCTGTGAAAAAATTCTTTTTTCTTGAGTCATATTATTTGAGAATAACTTTTACTTACTATGAATAATATACTGCTACTACATCTACTACTTTGATATTTTCATCCTGCTGTGCCAATAGAGTATGGTATATTGCTTACTGTTTGTTAACAAAGATAAATAATTGATTACCTATGTAATATAATTGATTCGATTTAATTTTAATGGCACTTATCAGCGAAGTGAAAAAACTAACCTCAAAACTGAATAATATTTCGTTTTTGCGCATTGAAATCATCAATCTATCATTGTTAGACCGCCATTAGAAACGTAGAAGCACTGGACGGACGTTTCTTCCTGGTATGGGACTCATCAGCAGTGCGCATCCACGACTCCTGCACCTAGCAGGATCGGAACCCAAGGCCTTCAGCCTTGCGCGCGAACGCCTAGCCTCTGAACCACTGGGCCAGCATCCCACGGTGTTAATGTCTAACTCTGATCAGTCTAGATATTTGGCGCTACCTTACCCATATTTCTATGAAGTTTTGACTCTCACTGTAAGTATTTTCACAGTTTTATTTTTGTGATAAACATGGACTCAGTAATAGACAGTGTTAAAACTAACTAAATGAACCAACGCAAAATCTTTGGAAATTAATAACATTATTTTGATTTTGCCTTATAAATGTTGAGTTGTTTGGATGGTACATTATGAATCTTAGCAGTGATCAGAGGTGTATCCAAGATAAAAAACAATTAGAAACCATTCCAGTGAAACAACTCAAACATCTATCAATCAACTGTGTAGATCACAAAGTTTATTTAAAGGGATTTAATAATTCAATAATAAACATGAAAGAATAAACCAGAAAAACGAAATAACAACAATGCTGGATTCATGCGTATACATAGTTTGTGAAGGCATGACAACATGAAATGCTAATTATGTCATGTGGTACAATACTGAGAGAAATCAAATATTCCCTGATCATATTGTAATTAAATGCACAAAGGTCGCATTATTTTTTGGAGTGTAATTCTATCATTATCGTTTGTTACTCTAAAAATGTTAATTTAAAAATGATTTTGTGCCAAACTCTCTCTCTCCTTTCCTCTATACATATAAATATATGGATATAGATGTATATTATTGTGAACTCTTGTTGGTCTAATAAAGTACTTTCCCACATATGACCGTTTTGTGTGAAATTCTTCATATTATATTTGCATTAACTGAGAACTTCATGGAACAGAATAATTGTAGAATCCTAGTCTTTTATTTCAATTTCAAAAAACTTTCGTTTCTCCTACCATCAGTTCAATAATTTTGAATTGTTTTTAACAATGTTATGAAGCCATTACAGCGATATTTGCTTCAACCCTCATGTAATTCAGTTGTGATTCAAAGGTAATATACACCAATGTACGTGGTGTGAAGAGTATTATTACTTATAAACGTTTTTAAGTGTTGTAACACACTTCCCCTCAAGTTATATTTGAACGTTAATATAAGCAAATTTTACAGCACAGCAAAAGCACTTTTGTATGATTGATCATCATAATTCAGTCTGTTATGTTACATTTATACGAAAGTATGCACTAAAATAACCATAATTAGGAAATTAACAACGCCACCACAAACGATGTCCAGAATGATTTGTATATTTTTACACTCTCATACATCTCATAGAAACCTATTCAACAAACAATGAGAATTTTACTTCAAGTTATCCATAGATCAACACAATATTATCGATAATTTGCTGCTCTGTTCACGGAAAGCCTTAGCATTCATTCCATTACAGAATAAAGATTTGACATTTTAGATATCATATTCATTCAATAAATAACCTAATAACTATTACCTAGGTGATACATTCACTTCTAAAAGCCATGGTTTAAGATCTGCATCCAATATAATATCAAAACCAAATAATTCATAAACTGATGCACGTCGTCGACAATTTTGATCAACCATTGTTGCAATACAATTGACAACGGAGGATAATGTTTTAAAAATGATATCAACAATACGTGACCAAAGATTCAATACATCAACTCCACGTTCTGTTAGATATGACCATAATGTACTCAATTTCCTGTAGTGTATAAAAAAACATAGTTTGTACTGTACAAGCTTCGATCAAAAAATTCATAAAGTCTTTTAATTATTTATTTCCTCTGAAGAAGTAGGCTAGCATTAGGTCAGGAAATGTCAGAAATACACATTTTTATTCATTTGGATATCAGAAAAATTTTATTTTATTATTATTACTATCGGAATTTACGTTATTTGTTTAAAACAGGAAAATAAAAGGATTGGAGTATAAACTATATATCAAAGTGCTAACATGTGTTACTGGCCTTGAACACTTCAAATATTCTGCACTAATTGAAAAAAATGTTTGTGGCACTATTTATACAGTCGATTACCGATTATTTATGCACTATTGATCATTTATCCTGTAATAATGTTTAGTATTTACGATAAATTTGTAACAAAACAATGCGATTGATGAATAATAAGGAAATAAAAACTGTGAAATAGGCAAGTTATGTTTGACTAAGATCTTTTACGCATACTCATGCTTTTTATCGATCTGGTTTATATTAAAATATATATACCATAGTTCAGATATTTATTATCTGATTAACATTTATGATTTGTATGAATTTTACTATTTTGTTTGTGACTACTTTTTTCCGAATAAGGATACAAGCACAATTCTCAAATAGTTTTGATTCGCTTTTGGACAAAGTTATGAGTTAGGACTGTTAAAATTCTTGGACATAATATCTTAAGTTCCAGTAATCTTAATATTCAGTGGCTCTGTCATTATTCTCAGTTTTTGAGAATACATAGTTTACACGAACATTTTAATTTCACGCAGTTAATTATTTTGTATTTACATGCAGATAACACTTAGAAGGGATAGAAATTTCACTAAATAGTGCTCGTTAGAGTGATTCACCGACATAAATGAAGAATACATTAATAGACTACTTCAGTTATCAATACCACACACCAGATGAGATGAGATATTTGTAACAACATGACTTCAGGAAGAGACTAAAATTTGTAGATTAACTAATCAAGTTTGAGATAGTAAGTCTTGGATTTTGGTGCGAAATTAACCCATCCAAATAAATAGATAACATTTTGGCATCATAGTTGATTTCAGTTCGTGATAAAAAAATCCCGAACTATATTTCCTAAAGCAAACATCCCGCTCTAAATCCTATTCTTAATTCTTTACACCAAGTCATGATCTTTTACACCCCACTGAGTAGGTGAACATTCCCAAGATCACTTTGACATCATCCCAAGGTCTTTCAGAAAATATAGTCTTACTGTCGTAAGTAATTCCTCAATTTTTTTGTTACTCGAATCTACTAAAAACTACTGGCATTCATGCTGCTTACTAGCTAGCTGATGGTCATCACTCATCCTCGTCACATTGACTAGGTGTACAACCACAACGCACACAGGTTGAAAGCCAGGATATATCAATCTTATGCCCAAGGGAAAATCTTTAGACCCCTGCGTCTAAACCGGTTGAACCGCATAATCAATTTGAACGATAGAAATCCAATAGTATTTACGAATTTGTATCTCACTTCAATTCCCTTAACTTCGATATGATGAGTTTTCACCGGCACACCTCATAGCTATTCACCGAAGAATGAAGAATCAGTAGTTACTTTGGTGGTTTCGCATGAATATTGCACAATGTCAATACAGTTTTCACAAAACATGCATTTCAAAAGTAGATGTTTTTATTGAAATAAAAAAATTACCAGTAAGATAGCTTCTCACCTGTAAAAGTGGATAAAGACCATGGAATACTTGAAAATAACTCATATATAGGTAGGAACCTAATAAGCTGACTACACGATTAAATAGTATCTTAACTATCTTAAGAAGAAACGATTTTGATTTAGCTATCTATGGATTAGTGAGTGCATAATACTACAGTGGATGAAAATTGAAACTGTACAAAGATCTCAAAACACCATTTTTTTTATCCTGTTAATAAGCTTGCTATCAATAATGATTCGATTTTGAAGTATGTTGCGTTAGTCTGACTAAACACAATGATCTGAATTAGTAATGTTACCTCAAGAATAATAACAAATGGGAACATTTTCTTATTCCTCATAAACATTACAGATTAAGTCTACCGACTAAGTCTACTGAACACCAAGATCAAATGACCAATCACAGACAAGTAAATATACACAAATATCTTTACATTGAAAAATATTTTCAACACTATTTAAGGCTACATTAATATCGTATTTAACTCATATCTGTAGAAATATACCATAAAAGAATAACTATTCGATACTTACCATTTATGATTTGATACGAATGTTTCATCTGTTTTATTATATTTATTAATAGAATAATTTGTTAAATGCACAAAACGATTTCTCAGGTGTTGAAGAGCAGTAGAATATCTATATGAAATAAAGGAAAAAAAATAGTCAAAAGCAGTGTAGACACATAATTGAATGATTTATCCAATTAGGTCGAAATCAAACGAACCAAAAGAAGTTTGAGTACAATGAAATGAAAGTTGTGATTAGATTGTTGCTTCAAGTCAGTAAATGTTCACATTTAGTGATCATAAGAGAAATAATAGTAAAGATGTTATATCAGGTAATAAATGCCAGAATGATTATCACTTACAGTAGATTGATCTGACCACATTCACTGAGGACTTTTTAAAAGTATCGCTACAAAATGTACATTATACTCATGAAAGATAAAGGCTACAAATGTTATTAAGTGTATGAAAAGAACACTCAATCATTAAAACAATCGCTTCATAAAAATATATATGCGATGATCAATACTCTGCGAATTATCAAGTAAATAAGAGTTATGCTCGCAGGTCATTCAATATACAACTATGTTGAATTATTGAACAAAAGGACGAAATTTAAACATATAATGCAAACTACAGTTTGTTTACGTCATCGTAATTCCAATTAAAAATCCATCTGTAGAATTGTACGCTAGCATATGTGTTTAAATACCTGTTGCTTTTGAATTGTTCGGGTGTCTAGTCTTATTTTAACAGTTATTTAGTACATCAAATTTTAAGCTGGTGAATGTTGGTCAGTGACCTACGTTTCAATAGGGGTAACAGGCATAAGTAAGTAAGTAAGAAAGTAAGTAATTACATTAAATTTAGAAAAGGATTACAAATTGAAATTAAACGGAAATCAATCAAAAATTTACTTTTGTGAAGCGAATCTCACTAAACCTTCTCTGTATACATACGCTCGAAGTGGACTAAATCCTGACACAAGTACATACAGTCTGATGTCAAACTTCTTTCCATCAATTAAATATGGTTGATTAATATATGATTGAACAATGACTCGACGTTGTTGAGGAATATCAGACCAACCACGAACTAATTTAATCCCGATTCCACGAGCTGATGCTGGCTTGTATAATAAGAATTGAAAAATACATAATATTTAATTTAAAAATATATTATCACTTGAAAACTTATCTTTTTTTTGAGTAAACCTCAAAAACACTGACTAAAAATAATGATGTTTTAGTAGAAACGAACAATGAAAATTCCTCGTACGTGGCAATAACGTCTTCCCTAAATTGAGAAATGTATCATTAGACAACATGCTGAATTGAAACGGACATTACTTTTGATACTTAAACGACACACTAATCTTGTGTAATATCGTCAATAAACGAGATCTTTTAAACAGATTCTATAAAGTGTATCCAGCCATGAGATCAACCAGTGAAAAGCAATCAATACAAAAGTAGCTTAGCATTCTCGGATTCACTCATTTTTAGCAGGTTGGACGGGTTTTATAGAAAGGAACTGATTTAGAAAACGTATGTCGATAGGTCAGTTATGCTGGTTTAAATCTTCTTAGTGTAGGATTGGTTCTAGTTAAATATCTCAGTTATATCGTTAAAGTGCTATGGCCTAAAGATGATTTAGATGAAAAATTACTTAGATTAAGTAATGAATTACGGGACTACAGCTATCCAGATAATTTTATCAGAACGTTTTTGTCCGAACGGAAAAATAGAACTAAGATTAACACACTCAGTACGAAAACCTTTTATCTAAAACTTTATTCCAAAGGATACATAGCTGGTAATATCTGAAAGCGTTGGTTTGGATCTGTTTGAAAGACACTGACCACCGGCAAGTTTCATACGACTTTCTTAACTAAGTCAGAATTAGTAAGACGAATCAAGGCTAGGATACGGATAACGGGCTTTTCTAGGTGTGTGTACCAATCATGGAGAAAGGTACATAGGCCATACTAAGAGGGCACTAAACTTGCGTGCTTATGAATATGTACCGGAAAGGTTAAGAGAAAGAATCACTAATTCAATAAACAGTGTTATACTTTCTCACCTAACTGACAGCCGACATTATACCAAAGTAGATAAAGCGTTTTCATCTTTGTATAAATAAATCCCAAACAATCTATACACGGGTGTAATAAAAACTCTTCTACACAGCAAAGACCATCAAAATTTATTCCAAAAGACCAAATTTATGAATCCGAAAGAGGTATATTTGACCTCAGTACTACCGTACTTTCGATTAGGTTACCTTATATTTCAGTCAACACAATAAACACTTACCCCCTTATACCCAATTTCAGTAATGTTTATCTTTGCCATCTGATTTATACTTTCCACATCCATCTTCTTTATCTTATCTCACTTTATTCATTATTTACTATTTATTTACTATTTATTCATTATTTACTAAATAACATTATTATCTCAATACCTTAGAAACCATATCTCCTAGTGTGCATTAGAGTTATGTGATTTATTTTACTATATTGATTGCAACAAGATAAACCTGACAATGAGTTTTCCTATCCCTTTTCTCAGATGACCTTTTCAATTTACAGATGACTTACATAAGATAATATTTAAGGCTTAACCAAAGTAAAAGTTCATAATTCTAATACACACAACAATTTAATTTACTGATCTAAAAATTTCTTATTTGTGGTCATTGTAGCACAATAATTATGATTTTATAACTGTAGAACCGAATGACGAAGTCACTGAAAACAACTGTTTGCTCAATGCATTCTGTTATTCAATATTTTTCTACTTTCTGTGAGAATATACTTGTACTTACTGTATTCATTTGAAAGTAATGACAATGTTTCTCGTATCTTACAATGAACTCCAGTTTGGAAGTTATATTCTACACATTTGAAATCATTAATCAATCATCATTGTTAGACCACCATTAGAAACCTGGAAGCACTGGACGGCCGTTTCGTCCTAGTATGGGACTCCTCAGCAGTGCGCATCCACGACTCCTGCTCCTCGCAGGATTCGAACCCGGGACCTTTGGCATTGTAGGCGAACGCCTTACCATCGGACCACTGGGCCGGCATCCAACGGTGTTAATGTCTAACTCTGATTGATCTAGGGATGGAGTTCAACCCTGTCGGGTGTAGGCAGTAACTACCAAAGACAAATGGGTGAGGTCGCGCAAAATCCCTAGATCAATCAGAGTTAGACATTAACACCGTTGGATGCCGGCCCAGTGGTCCGATGGTAAGGCGTTCGCCTACAATGCCAAAGGTCCCGGGTTCGAATCCTGCGAGGAGCAGGAGTCGTGGATGCGCACTGCTGAGGAGTCCCATACTAGGACGAAACGGCCGTCCAGTGCTTCCAGGTTTCTAATGGTGGTCTAACAATGATGATTGATTAATGATTTCAAATGTGTAAAAACGCAAACCTCCAAAACTGTGCCCCAATATAAAGTTATATTCTGTCTAGAATTCATATCACTTTCAGGTATTTCCATTTACATTTCAGACCAACAATCCAGGCATCAAATGATGGGAGAAATTATGCGGCATTGTTAATGTTACATATACGAGTGGTTTACGTAACGAAATTTTTTTTAAGAAAAACTTGAAAATAAACAGTTATATAGAAGAGTCGGAACTCGTTTTTCTGTTTGAGTGTTTTTATAAACAAGCTTAGAAAACACTTCTCACATCATAGTTCTAAACGTTTTTTTGCTAGCTATTAACAGTGTGATTCTTCAAGAGTGAAGGAGACAGTATGTAAAATTAACTAAAACTAATATAGTTCAGTTACATTTAGCTGCTCATTTGAATAAAACTATCTGCCAGTTAAATAAGACCTAGATTTAGAGATGATAGTGCCTCTAAACACACAAACACACAAACAATTGTAACGTAATAGGTGATTTAAAATAGAATGTTGTCTAAGTACATATTTTTAAGATTTATGAAGATATTTTCAAATGATGTATGGAAGAGTAGAGACTATCAAATTTTCTCTCATAGAATAGATTTCATAAACATTATCAAGAATTTATCAATCAGTCACTCATAATTAATTTGGATCATGGTAATATTGTGTTTTACACTAAGTTTCTAAATCACATTAACTAGACGATATGAAACTAAAAAGTTAAAAAAACAGAGGGAATTGGAATAATGTAGTAAAGATGCTAATAAAAAGGACAAAAAATTAAGAAATTTGAAAACACTGGGTTTAATGAGGTGACAACCATTGTGAGTTTTGACAAATAGTTCGGATATTGATGGATTTCACTTAATTGAAGCACAGTTCCAGTTCACTTCGTGAAATAGAATCCTTATCATCGTTAGCAGGTGTGAAAGAAGCGGAGGGCAATGTAGGTTGGATTCAATTATGAACAAGGTAGTCAACAGCACTGTTAGAGATATAAAGGGGGTTGTTACTTCCTGTTTACACACACCCTAGACAGGCATTTATTCTTCAGGTATCTGAAGAAGACACTATGTCACGAGTGGTCTTAACAAGCTGTGAACATGAACACAACACCCATAGTACAGCTTCTTAAGAGTAGCTCTACCTGGTCTACTTTACTCAGCTTTAAATGGTTTAGCTCCGTGCTTTTAGTACCTAACCTCCATTAAAGAAAAGCCAGGAGTTGTATTACCGTACGAGCTGATATTTTATAAACTTCTCCTATTGATGTGGTAAGATATTATTACTTCATACGCTAGTTGACCGAGAGAAACATCTTACTCTCATCAGACCCCAATCGGCAATATGACTTTACCTTCAAACCATGAGTTTGCTGGTTTTGGTCTAACTGCTTTTTAACCAGCCTTCCTGTTATAGTAGAATCTAAATAAAACGAGTATTCTAGCCAATATAACTTGATTGAACCGTTACAAAGTTTTCCATAAAACGGCTGCGACAGGCTGAGAAAGTTAATTTTGACTGCAGTATTGTTTAAGCTGATAAACACCGAGGTTTATCTACACTCAGTCGTTACAGAGAGTAATGAATTGTGGGTATAATCTATGCGTAAACAAGGGTAGAGTAGGTCATGCATTATCAAGGTCTCATTGTATTCAAATCATATATCAGTTCTACTGTTTTAAAAAGTCAACTCTGGTGAGAATTATTATGGTTTTTCTACACAAATCAACTAGGTTAGTGGAAAGATTGGCTACACTCTATTGAAATACATCACACATATTTATACATGTTTCTGAAATACTTTGTAAGAACTATGGAAAATTATGGCTTAATTCCATCAGACATGTTTTTATAGCTTGCAATATTGACTGTTCATTTGAATCTTTCAAAAAAGTATCAGAAGCAATAACAGACAAATCATTAAACTCACACTTATTACAGTCATTTAGTGTAGAGTAGCGTTAAAACTTGATTTTACTGTGAATTAAAATGTCAATTCATTAATTTATTTTTGTTTAAATATTCTATAATCACAAATAATTTTCTTCCTTACCGGTTTCATAATCCATTTAGGTCGAAAATAAGATAATGCATCATTATTTAAAGAATTTTTATGTTCATTTTCTTGTTGTGTCCAATATTCTTTCAATGATTTTAAATCACTCGGTAAACAAAATGTCCGCGGTACAAAATCAATTGATTTTTTGCCAAAACGCATACGTAAATGATTTAAATTCAACCATAATTTATCTTTACGACCTAATTGAAATGAACCAGGGAAATGATTAACTTTTTGATATTCTCTTACAGGACGAAAACCAAATGGTTTTAAATTATTTCCATAATAACCAATCCATTCATTGGACTCTAAAATGATGAATTTGACGATAATATGAATAAATGAATGAATGAATGAATAAATACATGTACATTTGTTTGTAAGGCATAGAAATCATTAGAAGAATAATAAGTGTAAAACTGAATAAAGTTTTTTCAATTGATAGTTAGTTTTAAGGTCTTTTCATTGTTATGTGTGAATAAGTGTTGACTAGAAATCCCATTCACAAATGTACTTTATTTCAGCAGACTAGTAGTTGTAATCAAAACACTTTAAGGTCACATTTTCTTTAAATTTAAGCTGTAAAGAGTAATTACTTAGAGTGTAGGCATTGATTCTCTGATTATGATGCATAGTATAAGAAGACTAATAAAACTAAGATAAGTTTTAATTGCAGATAACAAAATGCACGACTGGTATAATAGTTGAAGTCTTAAATTCAACTACCTAGAAGGGTATACTAAAGATGTCATATCTCATGCATATAATATACCGTTCAACTACAAGTTAGGAAAACATTACTTGATGAGCTGAATCTTTATGTAGACACAAACAGAAAGACAAGTACTGCCTAACCGTAAACACTTAAACAGCCTCAGTTCGTTTGTATAGAATGATTTAACGTTCAGTAATTCAGCATCTATATGTATGCTTCGTGCTAGTCAAAAAGCAGCCTCGGAAGAATATGTAGCTAATCGCGGTCACTATTTACTTACTTAAAGAACTACAATGTTTTGAAATTCCTAATTTGAAACATTTTAAGGTATCCAGTTAATAAACAGTAACAACTGATCTCTATCAGCCATTTTCGACTGATTACACAAAAGTTATTAAAACGTTTTTTAACATGTAGTACAGAAGTAGTAAACTGGATTCATTAATTTATGACATTTTATAATATATTTAGTGTTTCTTACATGCTTACCCTTTTAAACATTGCATATGGTACATTTTTCATAAGAGGTACTTAATTGTATAGAGTAGTCCAATATTGATACTGTTCAGACACGTAGAACAAACTTTACTTATTTTCAGTAAAATAACTAAATGCCTTAATTTTATGGTAAAACTATTAAAACGCATATTCTTCCTATTGAAAAAAAATAAAAAATCATACTTAGAGTAATCCGAAAATTAGATCTTCTCAATACACGTTTAACAACATTTGGTGTAATAGCACTGGGACGCCAAAGAAGTTGATATTTGTAAGGTTTTGGTAGTTTTGGTACTAAAATTAAATCAGATGTATAAAAAATTTGTTTAATCAAATTAAGTTCAACAAGCGTTTAAATTAAGGTTGATTCAAAATTTAATTTTAATTAATTAAGAGAATGAAGAACTGTTTTACCAATTATCCACTTGCCTGAAGAGTCAGTCAGTCTGATACAAAGTGGGACTTTGTACGCACGTACATAAGGTCAGGTTGCCATATCACATTAGCACAGAGATGCAGTTGTCAGTTCGGTTCCATAGTGGTGGAGATAGTAGAAGTATTATCAGTAATGGAGAAGATAAAGGTTCGAAGAAATTATTCAAGAAGTATGATTCAGTGAGATGTTTTTAGAAAAAGAAAGATAGAGGAATTCAGAAGATTAGGATTTCAAAGCACACAAACAATGAATGCACCTGTGCTATTGCAAACAATTTTTAGCTGTTTCGTTCAAATTCTCTCTAACCATAGGTTACTGTCAGCTGAGGATGATTGAATTAAATCACTTCGTGCATAACATTTAGTTATTATAACCAAATAATTAACTAAAAACCTCGTCAACCTTTTGGCGAGTTCAAGTTATAGATAAAAACAGCTGTAAACTATAGTAATACTAAATCACCAAGTTAACGAATTGCAACCACCTCATTTAAATAATCACATGGTACAATTCATGCCATAATTGAGACGTCTGTACAAGCATTTTCAGTGGCGCAGGTGCATCCATCGTTTTTTGTTCTCTCAAATCCCAATCCTCTGGATTTTCGTCACCTTTATCTTTCTTTTTTAAGCTTATTTCACTAGATTATACTTCTTGAATAATATCCTCGAACCCTAACCTCTCTGATTACTGTTATTACTTTTACTACCTCTACTACTATGGGATTTGAGTTGACAATTTTGTCTCCGCGCTAATGTGGTATGGCAACTTGAACTGATGAACGTACATACGTAGTTTTACGTTATAACTGATTGATTGACTGACTGACAGTCGAGAGGAACTATGCAACAATCACTCAGTTCAAAGGCATCAATAAATGAATTACCACTAACAGAAATCTCAGTATCAATAAATAACTAATAAGTAAGATTTTTTTTGAGGGCTTATGAACAAAAACTATGAACGGTAATAGTTTATCAACCACTGTGAAATAATTTTGGTTTGAAATAAATGTCCTTAAATCAAGATCAAACTTGTGGTTTAGTCTTGTTGAACAAGAACAAAATATATTGATTTTTTTTAAAAAAAATAAATAGTCAGTAAAATTTACCTTAGAAAAATCACCAGACTTTGAACTTTAAAAAAAAAATAAACCAGTAATTTGTGATTTGACTTAATACCACTGTCTATTTATTTACTTATTTGATTTAACTTTTATCGCATGAACATGAATGTAACTTAAGATTTACACATGCATAATCACAAGTGCTAGACTGTGTATTTACAGAAAAATTAAGAATCTGGAAACTGTATGCATAAAGTGAATACACAAACTTTGCTAGATCGTCAAATAACACGTTGGATATATTATGAGAATACTAATTTATTATTTGATTAGATTAACTCAAAATCCATATGACGACAGTATAGTGTTACCATTATACCCTAAGAACTTGCAACACTTATCTTATATTCTATCACATTTTTGAAACCATGAATCAATCAATGTTAGACCACCATTAGAAACCTGGAAGCACTGGACGACCGTTTCGTCCTGGTATGGGACTCCTCAGCAGTGCGCATCCACGACTCCTGCACCCCGCAGGATTCGAACCCAGGACCTTCGGTATTGTGCGCGAACGCCCTAACCGATAGACCACTGAGCCGGTATCTAAGGGTGTTAATGTCTAACTTGATCATATTCACGGAGTTGCGCAACCTCATACACAGTCTTCGGTAGTTACTGTCTACACCCGAACAGGTTGAACTTCACTGGTCACGTCTTCCCACTAGAACTCGGAGAAGATTCCTCACGAAGCTAGTCACTAGTGAGCACAGGTAATTTGCATTACGGGGTCGTGAAGATTGTTAAGTTACACATTTTTGAAACCATGAATCGATCAATGTTAGACCACCATTAGAAACCTGGAAGCACTGGACGGCCGTTTCGTCCTGGTATGGGACTCCTCAGCAGTGCGCATCCACGACTGTGTATGAGGTTGCGCAACTCCGTGAATATGATCAAGTTAGACATTAACACCCCTTAGATACCGGCTCAGTGGTCTATCGGTTAGGGCGTTCGCGCACAATACCGAAGGTCCTGGGTTCGAATCCTGCGGGGTGCAGGAATCGTGGATGCGCACTGCTGATGAGTCCCATACCAGGACGAAACGGCCGTCCAGTGCTTCCAGGTTTCTAATGGTGGTCTAACATTGATCGATTCATGGTTTCAAAAATGTGTAACTTAACAATCTTCACAACCCCGTTATATTCTATCAGTTGAACAATGGGTTGGTTTATGTATAGTTAATGATAAAATTTCAATTTTAACATTTCTAATTAAGAAATGAAAGATTTCATAGTTAGAAAATTATACAGAATACTTGTCAAATTCTTTGGACATTGTGAATAAGCTTCAGTACTGTTTATAAACTCAGAAATGAAAGTAATTTCATTAGCGTACCTAGTAACACAATAATTCATGGTCAAATACTGATAAATCAAAATGATTTCGGATTATGAATTTACTTACTGTGTTACATAAAACATTTATAGATTACCTATAACAAGAGAATTCTTCTGACATACAAAAACAATCATGAAAGTTTACTTACCAGTCTGTTTACTATCAACAAAACGTAACACTGATGGTGTATTGGGTAGTAGAGATGCAATAACTGGTGGTAGAATTTCTTCTGGTAGATTACTCAGTTGTCTTGTACAAGAAAAATCTGAATCTGATATATCGATTGTTGACTATAAGAAAACAAAACAAATAAACTTAAGCACTACCAACTCATTATTACAATGCATAGTTAAATAATTTGGTCAGTGACATGGTGAATGTTGTAGTTTTGAAATATTTCTAATCGATTCCGTGTAAATAGAAATTACAGATTAGTAGTAGCTTTTTTGTTCATTAAACTAAATTTAGTACAACAAGATGTTTCTAGTCTCAACAAGAGAATAAGTAAATAAAATATCTCTCTATGGAAAATATTCTGAACTAAGGTAACTCAATAGCTTAGCTTATCACATATCTAGCTTTTTCTTATTTGACTATAAACACTTAGTTATATCTCATTACATTAAGTTAGCCCACTCACCTTTTCCGCTTCACTTTGCTTTTCATTTACGCTCCGCGTTCTATTGTCTGTCCGTTTACGCGAAATCCATGAAATCACTGACAAGTGAACTGAGTCATGTTGATAGATGTAGGTTACCTGGTTGAGGTCGGCGAGACGTTAGTCACCAATGGTTAGATACCTTGAACGACAAAGCTCAAAATCGTTCGCAATGGCGCATGTGCATCCACTCGTTGTGTTCTCTAAAATCCTAACCTTCTGAATTCTTCATCATCTCAGTCTTTCTCTTTCTAAATTTATTTCACTGAATTATACTTCTCGAATCATATCTTTGAACCCTTGACCTCTCTATAACTGCTAGTACTTCTGCTATCGCTACCACTATTGGATTTGAACTGACAATCGCTTCTCTGTGCTAATGCGATATGGCAACCTGAACTGATATACGCACATACAAAGTTCTGAGTTGTATCTGTCTGTCTGTTTGCTTATGCGAATGTATAAAATAAATTCATCCGCAGTATTAGGCTTTCAATAATCTCCATCGCACAAATGGGGTTCGCCTAAGAACGATATATAGAAGTGGAAAGGAATATTTCTTTCATAGAATATTCAGTCGTTCATCTAAATTGTAGCCTGACTTTTATTACCACGAATGTATCGTTTAAGATAACAAAGTAGATTATTAACAAAACTATAGAACCCGGTATTATACTGATTTCTAAATTCAATAAAAGTCCCAACACAGAATTAAATAACTCGGTTGTTATATTAACTATGCGTTGCAACAACCAAGCTGAAGAGTAGTTACTAATTCTTCTAATTGTACGGCTTGTCATAGGATACTTTTAAACTGACTGCGTGGTTAAGGAGCTGTGGTAATCGGTATTTTTTGAGTTGAATCCATTAAAAGTATGTAATAATTCATTCGATAATTAAAAAAAGAGGAAATCGTATTCAGTACGTTTGTTACATCCAAACTGCTCACTTTGTTATCATCTATAATTACTGTATCATCTTCTAAACATTCCAATTCTAGATCGTAGTCAGTTTTTTCAGACATCTCATCAACATCTATATCTTGCCTTACGGAGGATATATCATATCTATGTGTCTTTCGTGAAATATATTCATCAGCTGAATTGAGTTTCTTTCTTCCTTTTACATTTTGGTTCCACGATTCAGAAGATTTAGGTCTAGTCTTCGGTGAAAAGGTACTTTTGGCATTGCTTTTATTCGCTTGATTTATTTCAATATAATTATCTTTAGAATAGATTTGTTGTTTTGAGTCGAAAGAATTAATTTCATTCTTTGAAAATTGTTTTTTCTCATGATATAATTTCTTATCATTTGGCTGTCGTAAACTTTTCGGCTCAATAGGAATTTTTTGACAAAGATTTATGTTTTTATGTGATAAATTTGTTCCATTTGATTTTTGTAAATCATTGGAAAGTTTTTTGGTAAAATTTTTATCTTTTAAAGAACTATTTTTATGCATTGAAAAACTGGTTCTTGGCAATGAAATAGACGACACGGATGATGATGGTGATGATGAGGACAGTGAAGATCTTTCTGAACGTTCATTTGATTCAGAACATTCACTTTTCAATGACAGCTGTTTCAGACGAGCATTTAGTTCTCGTGTAAACTGTTGTTGCATCATTGATTTTTTGGTAAATCCAGTTTTAGTATACATTGCTTTATTGTTCTGAAATGTTATCACTTGAAATATATTCTTATACAATAAACATTGAAGAATTTTTGAAAAGGATATCGATAGGAAAGAAAATGATGAAAATACAAAAACACTAATGAATTCTTTGCTTTAGATACATAAAAGAAAAGTAGTTGCAAAACTTAATTGAGTATTTGTTCAATGATCAATGTTCATGACATTTTATTGATAATAAATGATATTCCTGAAATGAAAATAAGAATTTCATTTATATTATGCTAAATTAAGCTTGGAAGTTGATCATTCCTAATAATATAAAACAACCTTTCTGTCAGCACAACCTAACAACAATCAAAAATGTTTCATTAAACTCGAAAACACTTTCAGAGTTAACAGAATTTTCTTAGAATATGTTCAGTATGTTCAATTACTGACATCAGTGAATGAAGATACCATTTTTCAATCTGGGTTGTCTAGAGATTTACAGGATCATTGGTTGAATAAGTCAAGATAATCGAAGTATATGGATGACAACGTTCACTAATGAACATAGCAAATGGTCATTTGTAGTGAAGTAGGATTCAATCAGGAGTATTTAACATCTTCTAATCCATACTTCTGTGCATTCCTTCTGATTCTAAAGCTTACTCACGATTTCCAGTGACATTCATATTTCTTTGATAAGCTGTTTTCACTCCTATCGTTATTTGAAAATATGGAAGGTCCTCTATAGGGATTATTAACTCTTTGTACTATATCCTATCTTTCTTAACTGCACTCATATTAACAGGTGTTTCGCATTTGAGGACAAACATAAACCAATAATATTAACTATTGGCTACGATTGAAATTTGAACTACAGTTTTTCGCTAGTACTGAAACATACAACAAGGTTCATAAATATGCCTTACATGAACTATTTCATTTACGCAGTGAAACTTATCACTTGCGAATTGAGAACCAAATGAGTGATTTGAATTTATTGCTTCGAAAGCTTATCACTATTAAACCACAACTATAAATCATTTTATTAACTGAAACAATATCTCACAACTCTCGTAATTTATATTTTCCTCCGTTGCATTTGATATTGGATTAACTCTAATTAGTGAAGTGTCCAACATTCACAAGAAGTATGTGTATGAATCACTAGCATCTTTTATCATCAAATGTAACCCATTTTAGAACAAAAAATCAATTCAAAAAACGATATATGCAAACAGTGGTTCAAACGTTCAAATTTTTTCTGATAAAAATGAAAATTCAAACAATGCAGAATAAATCATATGAAAAAAGCTGGCGAAATGTATGTCAAATAGATTGAAAATTATGTCGATTGGTTTGTAGTGAACGAGAACACAGGTGGGGCAACCGGATTGTATTTAACGAAAATTACAGAGTTACTCAGTAAAATAGGAAAACCATTTCGTAAATCGTTAATCTGCAAAATATCAGTTGATCATATCGAACTGTACTGTTCCTGTTGCAAAACATCAATCCATTGTCACTATTCATGCGTTTCATACAAATTCCATTGTGTTCGCACTCTTCCTTTCTTGATCTTCCACCATCTTCTGCTGCCAGTCATTACGTTTACACTCACGTCATATACTACTTATAAGTAGCTCGCACCAGAGGTTGGTTTATTTCAAACTTTATATTTTTTCCGTAACATAGGAATACAATAGTATTAGGTTTAAATACCTTGTCCTATAATTATTTTAATTTAAGTCATAGTATTTAAAAACTCTTTGAACGATATCTTTGCTCCATTGTTTTTGTATACATGTATGTACAAAAATACAAAATATCTAACCAAATAAAACAAAGTATGAGACACAACTTCTAAAATTTGCTACATTTATGCTTCTTGTCTATCATATAATGATTCACTGGATATAGTGTCGTCTAAAATTAAATGTAAACTATTATATTTTTAAGTTTGACTGCGTTATAAGTAAAAACTGAAAAATAATTCAAAATTTTCTTCTAAGTACTAACGAAAATTTACCAACATATGTTACTAAAAAATATTGTTGTCACTGTAATAAACAAGATGATTAAATTGTAACAAAAATATTGGTGGGAACTAAGTAAATAATAATAACAATAAGATGTTTAATTAAATCAGCAAATAACGCCCTACACAAGACAAAAATCAGATAAAGACACAAAATACTTTGACTAAATTTAGGATGTTTAGGACAGAAAATTATTATCAGTGAGATTAAGTAGCTTATTGAGGTCACAGTAAAATAAATGAAATATCAGTCTTCATATTATCACGTTAGCTCAATGGCTTCAACGATTATAGTGTCCGTAATTTTTTGCATATCAAAGAAGGAAAAAAATTTTAAAAACTAGCACCAGCACTGATAATTCACCCAATGTGTTAAAATGTTTGCTAAACTGATCCCAAACGAACTTAGATTATATTGACAGGGTCAAATGTTATTGTGCTCTACAGACAGACAGACAGATTTGATTTTGACCGATTTGGCCTCGTGTGCTGGTACGGGTATGAAGGCGGTTGTTACTTCCCGGCTGCGCACACCGTGGAAGGTTGTTTCTTGAGGCACCTGAAGAGGAAGATATATTAGTGTTGGTCTTAACGACCTGGGTGCGTGACCGCAGAGCCCAACGGACAACTGCTTGAGGCCGGTCACGCACGGCCTTTTTATGAAGGGTTTTTCGAGTATTAGCTCCGCTCATAAAAGCCCTTAGTGGGCACCCTTACCGACGGAGACGGAAATCCGTGAGTTAGGGTGAGGTGTAACATTTTTAGGGTCGACCTTTTCTAACCCTTCCTTCCTTGTGAGAAGGCAGCATCGCTGCAGATGCTGGTTATCCGAGGGAAACACCTTACTGCTGTCACACCCCTCTGCAGTTAGTCAGCAATACTACCTCGCCCTCAGACCTTGAGTAGCTGTTTTTAGTCTCATCGTTCTCCAATCGACCTGCCTGGCATAGTAGAACATTCAGGAACATATGTTCCAGCCAATATAGTTCGGTTGGGTCATCACGATAGGCAAGTCCGACCACCAGGTCAAGGTAGCAGCTACGGTCGGGCTGTGCTCTGCAAGATAATGATCATAATATCAAGAAAAAAAATATTATCAGGAAGCCTTCTAATGCAAATGAGAGGTGAACGTTTAGTAAGAGACCTTATTATTCATTTTTAGTTCATTAGTACCAATAAATAATAAACTGTATTTTTGAAATAAAGATGTTTTATAGACTTATTGGAGTTTATTTCATAATTTTTCACTGTTAATGTTGATAAAATCAACATACTAATACACAATTTATGACATTATTTGGCTCTCATGCCTTTTTTCGGAATATTCATGACGAATTACGCTGCTAATGTATATGAGGCATAAAAAAACCCTTTAAACAGATTATCAAATTATTTAGACTTCAACTTTCAGCGCAACACAGACCTTGAGAAAGACTTAATTCATTTATATTTCCATACTTTATTTTGTGAATGATTATTTTGGAATAGACCTTGATACAAATGCCGTATAAATAGACGAAACTGGTTTGCTTTGTAATGCCTAATGCTAAACTCTACAGAAATGGTACAATGGCCCCGCCTGACTTGCATGAAAGGTCTTCTTCGAACTCCGCTGATTAGTCAGGGAAAAAGAAAAAACTTATTTGCGTGAATGATTTGTAGACATGCAGCATGTTGTGAAGAAATGTTGTCATGTTTTCAGATAGTTGGTCACCTTTTTTCCAACCTTTTGTGCAATCGTAACTAATCACCAAAAAAAACTATGACCTTTCACCCATGATGTCATTCGAATCACCTTTAACCATTTAAACTGGTATTAAAAAGATGATGATTTTTAAAATGCACAGGGTTTTTAGTTATCATAACCTGATGCCCTTAAAACCAGAAATGGTGATCTTGGACAATCCTATCAAGAGCTAGATATTTAGTTATCAAAGGATCCTCAATGTGCTGGCAACTGATGATGGGATTCACATTGCAGAAAGATTTTGACAACTAAATTAACGATAATAGATACCGTCATCCATTTAAAACTTTACAACACCTTTATTTTAATGGTTTATTTGAGTGTGCTATCACATCAGTAAATCCAAGTAATCTAGAAGAGCAATGAAAATACATCAGTCATTTCTTTCTTGAAACATTATAATGCAGAAAATTTAGAAATTCACAACAGCCGAAATCGTTTCATGGACTAAGCATCATCAGATGTGAGGTTCTAATGTGGAGTGGACTACGGCGAGAAATGATGTGAGACGTAAATACATGTGAAATCCTAGCTGACTTATGCACTTTGGTTGACTTGTCTAAATTGTGATTGATGCCTATCAGTGTAGAAAAAAGTGTTAATCCACACATTACAAATATAAAAAGGAGTGGCGACAGCATCAAGAAAGCGTCAACGCCCATAATCCTGTCTCACAATAATCTAAAGGTAACAAAGCGACGATCTTTGGACCATTGCCCACTGCTGTAATGTTGCAACTAAGGGGTCCATAACATCAAAAGCTTTAGGATGACCATTTACTAAGTCGGATACAAATAAGTTTACCGTAGTATACACGATCCTAATGAAACCCAAACTTCGAATTTCAATTCTCACGATTTCTTTATAACTAGATAATTCTAAATTTCATGAAGGTGTGTGATAGAAATTGGAAAGTTGAGCAACGAAGATCTGAAAGAAATGCATATAAGCGAAGACTATATTATAGACACAGAAGCAAGTAGCCAGGGAGTAGTCGGTGTATAAGTAACAAGTACATTCACTTTAAAATAGACGTTACATGGGTGGTTCAAATGTGTTAGGATACACTACGATTTTATTTTTCATACTTCAAATTTGAATTCTTGCTTATGTCATATAGAAGTTCAAGACTCATTGAAATTAACAATAAAATGTTAAATATGTAGTTTCTATTATGAAAGCACGCCTCCACGAAGAATTGAAGATCCTGAGCAAACTTATTAACTAGTTATTATCTAGCCATTACTTATACACATTAATACCCTGTCAGTTATTCGTTTATAAGC